CGTTATAACACAATGTACACTTAACAACAAATCTATGCACACGGATTCCGTGCATAGCCAAATGTATTCGCTGAGGTTGGCATTGCTCTATCATCCTCTTTGTTTTGTTGTTTATCATCTTAGACCAAAACGTTCGGTTGGTCCCAATCAACCAGCTCTTTGCCACTATGCCAACGTATTACTCCTCGGTCAACTCAACAACTGCGTACATCTGCAATTAATTGCATCGTATGATCAAATAAAAAGTATGACAATCTTACATTCAACAGTTCCACGTAAGAACAATCCGGCAAAACGCTTGACGTTCACTAAGGCATAACTATATCTTTGGCTTGTATATTGGTCACAGATGTTTCCCGAATTAAATTGGATAATCCACTGCATACATAAATTCTCAGAAGTGACTAACTCAATGGTTCCGTGAATAAATCTTCTGTGGAAGTGTGCGATTTGTTACGTACCATATCCCCTGAACAAATAGGTTAGGGTAAAAAGACCTCGCGTCTTCTAGGATGGTTTCAAAAAGAATCGGCAACTGTTTGGTTAAAGACGTTGGAGAATATAGCAACGGACCGAAAGTAGTGGCATATGTGTCATTTTTATCAGGTCAACACATGTTTATGTAACATTTGGATCCCGTAATGAATTTGAACAGGGAAGTCATACGACAAACACTGCGAAAGGAATTCCTTTCGTATACCGTCATCGGTTGCGTACGTATAACATCGAGCAAGATAGACAAATGAAGCGAATTAAGAAATCTAGTTAGTATTAACCACGTGTGTGTGTGATTGTGTGCAGCTTGTGATGCACGGGATTTCTCAATTCGCTTCATTTGTCTATCTTGTTCGATGTTGTACGTACGCGACCGATGAGAGCATACGAAAGGAATTCCTCCCGTAGTGTTTGTCTTCTGACTTGCCTGTTCAGACATATTTATGTGAAGTTGGACTGTGTACTTTTTGTTGACCAGAGACGTTCATTTTACTGTCCCTTCACTTAAAACAGATCAGCTTAACATCTATCACTCGCTCCGACTACAAGCACCACAAAATACATGCTTTTTGTAATGCTGTACCTCTCACCCTTTCTTACGAACATCGATCTTGTCATTGATGGCGTGAAACTCGCACTGCTGAATTTGCTTAGTCGTTTGTGCATGCAGTGTTTGATCATTCTTTTCGTCTCTATCTTCCGGTTTCTATAACAGAAGAGTGATTATGTAGCAGCTGAGTATTCCTCCCCGATTTGGCGGATGAAAGCCTCCTCTTGACTTGACCTAGCTTTACACATTCTCACTTGCTTTGCATTTATTATTTTATTTTCACACACTTCTGAATCCAAACTGTGTGCCAAAGAAATCATGGTACGATAATTTTTATGAAAAAAGAAAAACGTTCCACGATCTGCATGTGGGCTGAATACTGCCAGGTTCCCCAGGCCAAGGCAGGTGAATTTTCTTGATCAATCCACAACCGGAGCCTTTGGCTAGCCAAAGCCTGGCCCGCAAGGTAGCGGGGCGGTGTGTGAAAACCCCTATCCATTGAGGGCCAGTGTCCAGTTCATCGGATCATACGCTCTTTGGACGGCGTCTAATGTCCAAAGTGCCCAATACACCTCGATGCCTAATTAAGCCGGTGACCGCTGCCACAACCAGGAAGTTGTTTGTGGTTCGTACGCCTCATGGTTGTTTTGGAATCAGGGTTGTTGGCCAACTCTCCTGGGTGAACTACCTGTGGTTCACCAACCCGGTTATAGCCCCGGATGTCGGCTTTTCGTCCCCTCATTTTCGCTTCACCGTATTTCGTTGTTCGATCATGATCTTTTTATTACACACCCTTGTGTGATGAACAGCAGACGAGATAAACACTACTGTTTAGTGGTGGAAACCGGTAATCTAAGCCCCTGCACCTGGAATGGTGAACCACAAGGCCCCGCTAGGTTAGGCGTGGTATTGAACAGGACAGAAGCAGGGTTGTCTACCATCAAAGTCGGGTGGCGGTGATAGGGCTTTAACCTCAGACCACAGAGTCCAAGGCATGCCGCAGACTGACTCAGCCTTTGCGCCACTACCACGTAACTCCGTTCATCTAGCGTTTTTCACCCTTGAACTGCTCACCGCGTTGATTCTATGGCATAATCTTTCTGTGCACAAAAGCGAATTATCGAGGGAAAACCCTATTCACTGAAATTTCTTGAGGTGACTGAATTCACTCTTAACTCTAGCGGTTTGCCTTTTAGGTATCACTGAACCGGTGTCCTGGAAGTTTCTATTGTGTGGCTCCTTGGGACGTTTAGGTACTGACGCCATCTCGTCACGTAAACGTACGGTCCTGTTCTGTTTAGGGTGGCCTAGAGAGAATCCCCGTCTATGCTGAAGTTCTTGAAAGCCATAGATGTAGCATACCAAAAAATGAAGTGGTCTATAGCGTTGTCTAATTTTCGTTAGCTATATGCATTGATCACATAGATGTTTACTGTTCCCCTATAAAGTTAATTTCGTAGTAAAACGAGACCTATTAAATTCAGTGGATTTCATTCGACAAGTGTTCGGAAATAGTTTTTCCCATCTTTAATTGCATAGCTATCACAGCAACCACGGAATTAACACCATTGAAAATTGTGTTGATTTACAAAATATTTTCTTGACTACATTGATCTCCATTTCATTCTTTTTGTAGACCCATGTCAGAAAAACCTCTGTTTTCCTCCAAAATAGAGGCAAAAGAGTTTTTAATGCGGCTTTGTGATCAAGAAATTGTGGTTCACGTAACTGATGGCCGCAAATATATTGGTCGATTTTGGTGCACAGATAGATCCGCCAACTTAGTTCTGGGCACTTGTATCGAGTATCCTGCTTCAGCTGATGCAGTTTACGAAAAATTAGAACGCAATTTGACCGCGGTCGTCATTCCCGGACAACATATCACTAAAATCGAATGCAGTCGCAGCTTGTTGTCATCGGCAGCTTTGTAAATAAACGATATAGATCTCAGTTTCTTTTTCTTTTTTCCTCCCGTGCCGTTAACGGTTTATGAATTTTGTACTTTTCAGCTCAATAGATCGCATTGTTGATACGTTAAGGTTAATCTTTTCATGGATAGGAAACAAGCCGAATTCCTGCATATCTTCTATGTTGTTCTGACCTACTGGTTCGTCTATTAGTTTCGTGGTTTTTCTAATCACTGTTCTCCACTCAGGATTGTTTCCATCTCCTTGGTGTTTGTCAATAAGTGGCTCTTAAGTAGCCGCACAGAATCCGTACGTCTATCGAACGATTTGAATAATGCTCTGTCATACTCCTTTCAGTTTGATGCACCGTTGTTTGTAACTTGGTTCCAGTGCGCCACGACAGCCATTTTGTGTCATGTCACGTCACATTTGGCTTACATCTTGCCTAATCGTGTTCAGTTTCCGCGGTTGAACTTCACGCTATCCACCGCTTTCGATGCACGTCTAATTTTAAACATCAATTCTAACTAACATATTTGTCATCTAGGTTTTGCCGCTTTCTGTCGTTTTTGTTTCGATGGTTACTTTCAATAACCTATGTTTGAAGCATTTAAACGTTTCTTTCTACTACGTCGCCCGGTCTCTGACCACTGTGTTCAATGTGGTAAGTTTTTTGCTTTTCATTCTATACAGTTGAAATATTCGATTTTTTCACATGTTCGGTTGTTGTGTATCACTTTACGTATTTGGTGCTTTCTATTTTGGTTTGGAAAAATACAGTCCTCGGTGGTAGAGCGGCTTACGTTTCTGTCATCGGTGTGCTCTACTCGCCCTAGGTTGAAACCCTATTAGTTCTTGGTTGCGAGCAGCTTTGATCTTACTTGATTTAGCTTTGCGTTTTTTTTCACCACACCCCGGATCCCAGAGGGTAGTTCCATGTTGGCAACATTCATTTGCAGTCTTCATTCTGTTTATCTTCAATTTTTCAACTTTGCTTCCTTTTATTGAACGTATAAAGATGCAGTTTTCAGAAAGGAGAAATCAGGCAATCAGAGGACTGCCATAGAACACAGAAAATGGGGAAGTCAGGCGGTCGTGACGGGATTTGAACCCGCGTCCTCCGTGGCGGCAATTGGGTGACCTTTAGCGTTTGATCACGCTCATGCTCTCGATCTTGTCCTTACATGCTTTTCAGCCTTTCAAATGAGGCTTGCCTTCGCTGTACATGCAGCACCATCTTTTCAAGTCCTCTGGTACTCCTGTACACTGACACCTAGTGGGCGAAACACCAAAAGGTTGTCCAGGCCAATGCAGGATAATTTTTTCTTAAGGAATCACGACCGAGGCGTTTGACTAATCAAAGCTTGACTCGAAAGGTAGTGGGGCAGTGTGNTCATCGGATCACACGTCCTTTGGTAGGGCAGGAAGTCCAAGGTACCTAATGCACCTTGAAACCCCATTGAACTGGTGGCCACCGATGCAACCGATGCGTTTTTGTGGTTCGTACGCCTCTTCTTGCTTGGTTTGAAATCAGGGTTTTTAGTTGATTTTCCTACCGATGGTTCGTCAACCAGGTTATAGCTCTGAATTTTGGCTTTCTGTCCCCTTAATTTGTTGCTAATCATTTCCACCAATAAAAGATAGTGAGTAGGGCTTCCTCAGCAGAGGCTATTTGGAGCTCGGTCATATAGGAACACTTCCTAGGTTTCAAGGGAAAGAGTGATCATATTGAGGATTCCGGAGGCCTGAGGAAGACCGTAAACTGCTCATCTTGATCGATTCCTATGTACCTTACAGAAATTTGTCAAATTACGGTGGTCACTTCCTTTGTAAGTTTTTGATACAAGCTGACAAAGAGCAGTGTATAACTGTTTCAATGCAGAATTTTTATGTTCCCCTCGGGAACTTAACCGCAGATATTGGGGTCGGAAATTACAACCCTTACTCATGAAATGCATAATCAACGGTCAACAAACAGTACATAAGCACATTATTTGAATTTGCTTTTATTTGTATAGTCCTGGTGATTGCTCTGCATGATGTTCTATTTGTGAAAAGAAGAAGCAGTTCAGTGACTCTCCACCTGTTTCTATTTTTCATTTTGGATTTTTTGGGGTATGTGAAGAAACCAACCTCCCGTATGGGTCAGAACATTCCACTTGGATGATTACTCGCACATCTTTGCACATTGTTTCCTCTTGATTTTTTCCATTCAGGTTTTCACCTACCTCATTCTTCATGTTAGTACTTCAAGAAAAGCCCTGATCTGTTGCGCTGTCATAATGGTTGGCTACGGATCCGGATTGAATATTGAAGGCTCTCTAGGTACGTGTTCATGGGTTTATCCCCTCAGTTTATTAGTAGTATAAATCTGTTGCTAACGTATTAGGTTTCTTTTTTTCTTGATGATTTTTTGTTAACTTAAAGACTTTTCTTAGTGTGCAAATCAATCAATAATTCCTAACGATGACACTTATTCAGTGTTCTTGTTGTTGATTTTCACAATGAAGTTATGCTTTGTGATACCCGACGAAATCGATCGTCCGCACGGCCTCAAGTGATATAGACCAATAAAGTGTCAGACATGCGCCATAACGTGTAATGGACTGCTCCCTAAATAATAGTCTCTCTAGGCCTTCCTGCGTAATGCGTGACACGTACTCTAGCCAACCTCGTCTACCCAAATGCCAACGAAAGGGACTTATAAGCCCTTCCGTTGACCTTGAAAGGAAACATGTAACTGCTTGAATGAATAAATCAATAAACAGTGTCATATAAAATCCTATCTCTTCTAATTACACCCGCTTAAAACATGTATGTCTATTCCGGTACACTTTCTGACCGTTGTTCTAGGGGACAGAGAGTGAAAGTTGCAGTTACCGTTAGCACGGATATTATTAATTTATTTAACAAAATAAGTCGATTTGAGAATTAAATTCTGCCTTATGATCCAAGTTGATTCCGTTTGTTGTGAACTGTTGTGCTACGGTCCACAAAGTGCACTAGACAGCTGCTTTGTTTTTGTAGTTGGGGCATACCAGCAGTGTGCCATCCTTTCGGGACTCAAGCCGATCAGCTGCCAGTTGGAAGCCGAAACCCGACGACAAACGCCCTGAGCGCATGTCTACGTCGGTCAAATAAACATGCTTCTCGTTTATTCCGTACGCTTTTATAAATGTGTCAGGGTCTGGGAGGGTCTTGCTCCTTAAAAATTCTTCAATTACCCACTTGTCCCATCTGTTTTATTTGTGATGGAATACGATATGTGCTCTCATTTCGAAGTCCTGTCCGGGACACAAAATTGATGCGCATTACCATTGAGTTCCAACAAAAACAAAGCCGATCCCTGGTGTCTTCGTCGAGCATCACACAATTCTTGCCACAAATAATATTTATGAACACGGTGGTGACTCAAAGAAGTCTCGAGGGATTAGATCCACACAATGTGACCAATTAATACACAGATCCTGATGTACTTAAGTCCGCATGGGTCAAAAGGAGAACATTTGTAACTAATTGAAATAAATTCTGTATTGTTCTTTTGTTACACACGCAGTGATTTACAGCAAAAGAGGTAACCCCCATAATCAATAATAAACTGTAAGGGGGAGGTATGCGGGGGAACATTCAAGTAAGAATCAATTTAATCCTGCTTTTGAAAAGGGTACGGTTATAAGAGCTTAGAAACACGGAACTGGGAAGTGTTCCACAATTTCGCAGTCTTCGGGAAAAAGAAGATTGTAATATAGAAGTCCGACATCTGGGGACAGAAACCTGATAAGAGTGACTGCTCGCCTGAAAACGAGATGGACAAGTAAAGGTCAATAGAAGGCGAATTCGGAAGAGCAGAAACCAAAATATTAACGATAGAAAAGAGATAACGAAGCAACTGCTTGGCGATGGGAAAGCGACTGCAGGTTGAAAGTTAAAGACGGTCCGTCGATCAGCCGGATGGCCTTACATTGAACACGACGGAGGAGAGAAAGAGCGGAATACGAAGCTCCACCCGAAATTTGACCTTTGTAGTCGGCCATCATGACGCGCACTGGCAAGTGCGCGGACCAAGAGCAAACGGGGTACCCTCGATTGTTGGCCGCACCCGAAAGGTGCATGGATTGGTCTTCCAATCACTGGCTCACAGAGGATCGTGGACTTCCTACACCACCCCACTGCTTTGTTGGTTAGGTTCTTTAACCAAAGCCCGTGAAGGCTCCCCTGAGATAGCTCTGTACCTCAGCTTGGACAACCATCAGTATCCCGTCCAAAATTTAACCAGGGACTTCTATACATGCCTTCGATTTCCGTACTCACTCACGAAACTTGCTTCCATCAAAAAACTGCACTCAGCACCTCCATTAGCCTCCCCTCCCACACAGAATGTACCCTTATTTCAGGTAGTTCAGTAACCCGATTAACGTCTCCCTCTAACATCAAAGAATCGTTTAATTTGCGCCTTTTCAGGGACTGCAGTTCATCAGCGTCTGTCCTGGTAGGTGTTGTTATTACCTTGAATACCAGGGTCTAGACATTTCTATTACGTTGGATCCCGGTAGACAGCCGACGGTGCGCAGTGAAACTCCGAGGTTCATGTAAAGTTAGCAAGCAGAAGTCAAGCAATCGTGCTTGTTTCTTGGCTTATGCACATGCTTCCACAAACTGCAGCCCCGGATAAGTCAGCTATAGCTTGTATCACAGTTTACACGGGCCGAAGACCGAGACGCAAGCGTTGGTCGCCTGTTTTCCGATGGGGTTTATCTTGGTGGTCACCACGGGCTTGACAGCTATCGTCCATTCAATGGTAATAGACTTAGCATAAGCTCCGACCACCCTCAGCGTGTTATCAGAAACTTCCGAAACCGAAAGCGTCACCTAACCACTTAGTGTAACCGCAACGACATGGACCCAGATTGATCACGTAGCAATTAGCTATAGATGGAGAGGGTGTGTAAAAGATTGTCGTTCGTATTGGTTTACTTGTTTTGACTCTGACCATGCTTTGGTTTATGCTAAGTTGCCTGTGTGAT